ATGCTCCTCTTCTAAGCAGGAAAATAAGAGAACAAGTGCAAGAGGAGAGGCAAATTATAGCTGGCCAGAAGGAACACACTGAGGTACTTACAAAACAGATATTTAAATATAAATATCAATATCAATATAAATATAAATATAAATTTTAATTGCACTTATACTGTTTCTCTTAATGCTTGTGGTAGTGTTTTAGGTAATGTTTGGTTTTTTCTACTTTCATCTTAGCAGTAAAGTGCTATATGTGAAGAGCTTTTTTTTTTTTTGAAATTTCATTAAGTTTGGGTTCTAAGAGACTTTTAAAGGTCATCTAGTCCAACCCCTCTTGACACAGGCAATGACACCTTTCACTAGATCAGTTTGCTCAGAGTCATGGGGATTGGTCTGTACTCAATGAATCCATTTTGCTGCAAAAGCCAAAGGACATTCAACAAGTTTATTCAATCACCCTTCACTCCTGACTTCCAGGTAACACCATGATGTAAGGACAGTTCAGTTTGACCTCTATAGCCTACACTGTGAAAGATCCTACAGCTGGAATTCACAGTAGTAGCAGAATTAATCCTCCCTTGCTGGTTGTTCTCTTCAGAAAAGCCAAATTTCCATTATGGTACTTTATAGAAACCTAAGAAATTTACAGGTTAGCCTATTAATGCACGAAATGGGCAAAATGTCACTAGCACATAAAGGTTTTAATAATCTTTGTTCTTTCAGGACCAAGTATGTTTCATATATAACTTAGTAACTGCATCATACAAAACAAAGATGTGGGAAATGGTCATGTCTCATTGCTTGTTTTGAGTGAAAATGGAGATCAAAGAACTCCATTTACAGCAAAAAGATACTTTTAACAAACTGCAGCTCGGTTAAGGAAAATCAGGCTGACCCAAGGTTGTTCTAATATTGCTCATTTTCCAGGATGGCAAATCCATTCTTACATCAAGATAAAAGTGTTGTAGAGATCTGACAGCTGTGTTTGATGACTTTACCTTTGCACTGGTGATGTACTCTATTTGCAATTACCTTAGGTAGATGAACTTGTTTTCCTAGAAGAGAATTCACCAGAAGAGACTGATGAGACTGTAGCTGAGGGTAAATATATTTGATTTATTTTAGAAATGTTAAAAGAAAGAAAGAGAACAAATATCTTTTGATTAAGAATTGTCTATGTCTAGCACTAAAAGACCTTCCTTTGCTTCAGTTAATAATATGAGATTCTATGATTGAGGATATCAAACCGAGGGGAAGTTTTGTTCTGTAAGAAATTAATATTGAGGATATCAAACCGAGGGGAAGTTTTTTCTGTAAGGAATTAATAAATTGGACTGTCATCATTAGTATTTTCACTCCTGCACAGGAAACCTTCAGAGTTTAGACAGCAGTGATAAATGCCAGGGAATATTCCTGTGTAAAACTAGGGCCTGAAAGTCACTTCTACACAGTGCCTGTGTTAGCTATGTACTTTTGTTGAGGTGAAGTACTAAGATGAGGGCAACCTGAGAGGACTGGAAGAGTTAATCTGTGATGCAATGGCATGCCTTGTATCTTGGATTATTTTTAATTTACTCTTTCACCAGATTAGATTCAAGAGCTAAAGAACAGACGTATATAAGAGCATAAATCCACAGTAGAAGTAAAAGCTTCCAAAAAGATTGAAAAACAAGCACTACCCTGTTTCTGAGTCCCATGTCTGTGATTTATCTCGGGCTTGTCATGAACTGGGACCTACATCTTTTCAATTCTTATTATCTGTGATTACTGAATGTTCCTACTGATTCATATATGCACAGAATGCCATTCTGCAATGTTGAGATGGAATAAACTCCTCCACCCTCTCCTTCCTCTTGATTTTTTTTCCTCCAATAAGGCTTTGGATTACAGTCCTGGATTAAGTCATGTCCCTTCTCCTTCCCCTTCAGGTCTTCCTTATTTTATGGTTCAAGTGACATATTCCTGCCTGCATCTTTAGCCTATATTTTTTCTCATAAACCCTCTGCAACCTAGTAGTACAGTATTACCATTTAGCAATTTTCTACAGACTTCACAAAATGTAATACAAAATCAGGGAACAGAGCTCTCAGCTCAGGTTCAGTTTCAGGTTAGGGGACGTCTCAAAAACTGTAATACACTAACATTTTGTGGCAATATTTTCCTTAACACATGCAAGTGCCCATAAGTGTTTTCTAGTATTGCAAACAAGCAGTAGTCTGCTGTTTCCATTAGGTTCTTCTACAGTGCTTGGGACCTGATTGAGTTACATTCTAATGCTAAACTGTAATCTTCAGGTTGTGCAGAGATGATGCAGTGTATATTCCCTTCTGACCACTTTCTGTCATTTTGCAGGGATTTGTATGCTATGGATGTTGCAACATGTCTACACTGCTACAGGAAGGAACACCTCTTGTTTTAAACATTAGATTGTGCTAGCAATCATGTGTGATTTTAACAGACTTTAACAGAACTGTAAATGACTTCAGCATCTGCAATGCTAAGGAATCAAACATCTAATACAACAAAAATTGTATATTTTACCAGAAATCTTCAATATTCATACAGATTTTTACTTAGTGAATTTTCCTTAATAATATTCATTCCTTTCACATTTCTAGTCTTGTACATACAGAGCTCCCTAGACAAATCCTCCATCTTGAGCTGAAATGCTTTTACCATAGCTAGCTTCATATGATCCATTTCTCCACCATATTACCCTCAAAAACCAGTGGTTCATCAGGAATGTGGATTACAGGGATGGCAAAGGCTGGTCCTGCACTCCAAGACATGCTTAGAGTATTGGAACCAGTTTTTGGAACCACTGTTTGGCCATCTCAGTACTAAAATGGGGAATTATTTAGAGAAAATCACTTGTAAGTAGTGAAAATTTTAGCTGTGTATTTATTTCAATGACTGTATTAATAAACACATGATTTTTTTTTTCCCCTTCTCCAGAAGAAGTAGTCAGATATTCTGTTGGAACTATAAAACCTGATGATGTCTTAGAGGGATGTGTAGAAGAAATTAAACAAAAGGTAGACTGAATTTTAAAACATTCATTCATCATATTTGTTAAAGAGGCATAACAGCAAGATGCCCAGGCTTTAGAACAAGATCCCTTAATGCTTCTCTGGTAAAGATGATAAAAGCACAATAATTTTGACCTGAAATAATACAGTATTCAGATTTATACTATTACTTTAATATTCCATATCAATAGATGAGGTTAGACATTGAGTCACACTGTTTCTGTTACCAAAGAAAATGCCTCATAACATTACATATCAAGATAAAATTATACAAATTTTAAAAATTGTTATGACAGGGCCAGTGACCTTTGCAGGAAAAAAAAAATCAGAGTGCTGTATAGGTTGTTTCTACAATTACTCTACCTTGGCCAGAAAGGAAGGAAGCTCAGTAAAGGCAAAAAAATAAAACAGGCAGTGCTTTAAAACAATTTATCTGGTGCTGAGCAGCTGCTACTTGGCTTGTGAGGTATGTACCTATACTGCTCCCACAGTCAGCCTTGTCGAGGCAGTCTGGAAACACTCAGCAGCAGCATAGGGGCTTTTAAAGAGCAGAGTGCTGGTAAGAAGATTAATATTAGCATATGATCAGTATTGGGGCTGGATAGTGCATTTGTTGTTAAAATATCAGTATATGGTATACACCTCATACCAGTGGACTATGTGATGCAGATCATGTAAGTGTGCATTACTTACATATACCCAAATTTAGTGCAGTAAGGTAGCTTTAAACAGACAATCATAAAATAGATTTATTTTTATTTGCTATTTCTAAAGCTAAGTAGTTTAGCCTAATACAACAATTGTTGACAAGTGAACTTTTATATGATTACTATGATTATAATGTGGTTTGTAATAACATTAGTAGAAGTAGTTATATGTTAACCACTCACAATGTCAAAAGGAGTTTATTCAATATGGAGTAAAAGGAATTATTAACTATTGAATGAATGCACTACATGCATTGAACTGCACTATATTTTCCACAGGCATTAACTTACAGGTATTGTAACCCTGAATTTAATGAAGTGCTTTGAAAGACTGGAAGTTACGTTTAGGCAAAGATAGCAGTCATATTTGGAATATTTCAGAAAATTTTAAAATTAAGATAGCTTCCAAAATCAATCTTTAGATTTATAATAACATATGATTTTGTTTGTGTCATTTTCAAATGCCACTGAGTAATAACTGAGTAATTGCAGATTAGAGATGCAGGATTTCACATTGAAGCAGCAGAGAAAATGCTAACTGAAGAGCAACTCAGAGTGTTCTATGCCCAGAATAAAGAACAAGTAAAAGCAAACTAAAAACCTAAATGAAAGAAACAGGTAAAACATATCATTGTAACTAGATGTGTTTGCAAATCTCTGTACTGTAAATTTTTAGTACATTGAAGAACTGAATTAAGGTATATTCAGTACATTAAAAAAAGATATATTATCTCCTTTTTTTTCTTACTGACTCATATGACTAGGTAGCTCTCTAAATTCCAACTAAATCAAACTGAACTCCAATTAAATACAATAAGATTCTGTACTTCTTTCTGCTATCTGAATATGTATGACCCCTGGCCATGGTGCTAAACTCTTAACACTGTATCAAGATAAAATTCTAATTTTAAAAACTATTATGACAGCGTCACTGACCTTTTCAGGAAAGAAAAATCAGTGTGCTGTATAGTTTGTTTCTGCAATTACAGTACCTTAAGTATTAGTTGCTGAACGTGGTGAAACGTTGCACAAACCCAAAATCCAGTGTCATCTCTATGACAGGATGTATCTATCCGGTGTCTATTCTTCCAGCCAGGAAATAAGTGATATTATTTATGTCTTTTAGTTCTTTACAGCTTTGATCATGGGGTAGCACTGGGAATAAGCATGTGCACAGGCAGTAAGGGAAAGCATCTCAGTTGTGATCTATTTTTCTGGCCCTGTCCTATATTAGAGGACAACAATAGCTAAGAACAGACATAAGAGTCAAGAAAAGAATGAAAAGGCTGCTGTTAAATGGCAGTGGTCTAGCAAACTATCCCCTATATATTGTAGCATTTTTTGGCAGTATGATAGCTAAAATTAACTCTACAGAAGGGTCCAAATGACAAAAAATGAAGCTGCTTAGCAAATATTTCTATCTTCTCCTATTTAAAATCTGTGTAAGACAGCCAGCATCTGGAATTATATCCAGACAAATAGTTTTCTTGATATTATTAGAGGGACCAATGGAAGGGTTCAATGAAAGGCTTGTCATAATTAAATGAAGAAGCTGGGAAAAGTGTTCCTGTGGCATTCCAAATCAATGTGAGATGAGATCGTTCCTACTGAAGTCAGAGAGAAGAAAAAGTCATCTGGTAGCAATAACCAGATGGCTGCACTATGGTTTAGAAAGAAAGTAGCAGGAAGATCTTGTAAGAAATCATTAAGAGCTTGGTTTTGACAAAGCTGGCATTCTAGTTTAGATGGAGACAGTTTCGAACAAAGCATAGAAAGCGAAGGGAAAGCTAGAAATATCTTGCCAATATCTCAGTGTTCCATTCTTATAGCCAGCTACATAATTTTTAGTGTAAAAAATTATTTATAGAACTGCATTGCAGTTTGTTATGTCACACTGCATGCTGTACTGCAAGTATAGCACACGAGCACATCAAGTTTCTGATCATTTTCTTCACTCTTGTCAATTTTATTTTAACCTGGAAGGATGACCAGTATTTGTTTAAAGTAGTTCTGTGACTTCCTTTATCTCAATTAATTTTGGTTTAGACATTTGATAATGTGGTCTCAAATGACTGATCAAAAAACATCCCAAACAATCTAACAAGGTTCTGAGGAAAGTGTGTGAATTCCAACTTGAAACAGGATTTTATGAGTTACTTTGAAAGGACGATTGTCTCATTTCTGGTGATAAACTCAGAGCTCCTGCAATTCATAGGGGGAAATTATGGTTTTTAGCCTGACGTTGATGAATTTGTTCAATTCATGATGAGTGGACCATGTCACGTTTTGATAATCACTAAAACAAAAGCAGCTGATGATATTCCTCACTGGAAAGAACTACATAAAACAAGTGAGAGTTTGCCTGTTGAGCCTGAGCCTAAGCCAGACAGGTATCTACCAGTGAAAATGTGTATATGTGATTCAGTTACAGTGTTCAGAGCACAACATAAACCAAGGCATGTTCTTAGATGCACACATCCCCATGTGCACAAGGTCCGGGGAGTAGGCAGAGGTCTTCACCTGGTCCTTCACAGGACCACCACTAAAGGTGCAACATAGACAATCCATACTTCCTAGGTAAAGATGACAAGATCCACTGTTCTCTTTGAACTAGCCTTGAATGGGTTCTCAGATCAATGGGAACAATGCTACACAAGGCTACACTTCAAAGCTGATGTAGTCCATGCAATTCTACTTCATACAAGTTCACCTAGACCAAGTGACTGCCAGCACTGCCCATTGAAGGTTGCACTCGACCATATTTACTCCTATGTATGCTGGGAAGCTGTAGATGTGGTTCAGAGGAGACCAAGGGACACCTGAAGCATGCTGGGAACATTGTAAGAGTCAGCAAACAAGGGGGAAGGTATTGGAGTTTGTGTCCTCACCCTCGTCCAAGATGCATAAAACATAGTAAGAATTAGCTGTTCACAACCACAGGATCTTGAAATATCTGTTTTAACCTGTGCCAAGGGTTAGTAGAGAATTTTAAAGAGAGTGGTAGCTGTATACACAGCTCAGACAATAAAGAGAATGTTCACAAAAATTCAATTATCAGATCAAGTTTTATATTTAGACAATAGATCTGCTTCAAGCAACTTGATCATAAATACTTTGTCCAAAAAAGACTTTGTCATAATAATTGATACTTTTGTTGATGCCTGCTGTATCCTTTTCTGCATTAATTTAGTACAGCTGGGGAATACTGCATTTTCTGTAAGTGGCCAAGAGGGACTGTATTTACATTGCTAAATAAACCTTAGAAATGCAAGCAAGTAACAATGAGAATTGTCTCTGTTAAATAAAATGCTGTAGTGCTATCATTTTTCTGACCATGATGTACATGAATTAAGCACAATCCTTTTATTGATCATTCATTATACACTGTACACTTGCCAGTAGTAATTCTGTCTCATAAAACAGAGAGACTATTTTGAATAAGCTAGAGGGGAATTACTAAAGCTGCATGGCTGAGATTTCTCTTTCACAGCACATGACAAGGCACTTTTTGAGAAGATTAATAATTCTCCACTCAGAAACATTATTTTATTCATTAATCTGAATTTAACAAAAACTTAGTTGGGCATTCTATTCTTATGTTTCACTAAATTTTAAGAAGGTACACCTTCAAGAAGCCAGCTTGTTAACACTATGTATGCATTGACTTAAATACTGTATTACTTTGCATTTCATTAGGTTAGAAGGACTCATGGAAACTGCATCTCTATTAAATATATGTGATGTGCAGAACAGTGTTGAAGATGCCAGCAGACAACTTGCCTTCTTCTTCCCAAATTTTCATATAAATAAGACAGAACAACAAGCCAAAAAGACTTTGGCCATAATTAGACCTTCTCTCTTAAAGGAAAGACGAGGTAAGTGTTATCAACGATATTTTCAATTTAGGGTATATCAATAGTCTCATGTTTTGAATTTTAAAAATTCTAACTCAATTAATAATTCTTTTTAGGTTATATTGTCTCCACAGCATTAAACCAACAGTTATCTTTGTCTGGAATGAGATCATATGGTTAATGTTTTACATATATCAAGAATGTAAATGTCAATGCTATTTTGTTTCTCCGGTTGATTCAAAAAAGCCTATAAATTGTATATTTGTCTAGACAACCTCTCAGAGAAGTTAGCATTATCAATTGTAGTATGAGGGACCATATTTCCCACCATAATAAAGTAGCTGATATTATTCTTGAATGGCAGGTCCAAGGTATATCAATGGCAAGGTGAAAAAGATCCAATCCAGGACGTTCTGTGCTGCAGAAGGCAGAGCCACTCAAGAGCTGGTCTATATAGTCATTTTTACAGATTAAGCAAAAAGATCTACCCCATTGCACGAACTCCATTCAAACAAGTTTACTTTTCTTCTCAGTCATATATTTGCATTTCTTCCAGTTTAGAAACAGCAGTTTAGATAGAATTTTTATTTCTAACTTGAGAATCTGTGTACTTGAAACAAGGTATACACAGCGATCTGAAAGATTACAACTTTGATCTTTCCTTGTGTATTTATTTTCTTGATTGTTGTCTAGTATGTTTCATAGAGCAGCAGTTCTGCAGTTCACATGTCGTAATTGCAGAGTTATCTTAACTTTCTGCCAAATACTGCTTACTTACCCATGCAGTCTTGCAAGACTTAGTTAAATAAATACTCACCTATTCAAATTCTTTAGAACTTCTTTTGGTGATAGCAATGCATATATTTCTCAGTCAGGAATTCCTATGGGGGTTTCTGAAGTAAGAGAAAACTTTTAGGTGAGGATTAGCTTTCTGAGTGTTCAGGCAACTGCTGAAGCCCTCTAGCCTTTGCTTTATATTAGCTTTCTGTTGTTCAGTTAGGAAATTAATTCACCTGTAGAAAATTAAGTCCATGTCATTTCTTTACAAGAGTGCAAAATAATAAACGGATGGCAATTTAGCATCATTTCTATATATTTAACAGATTTTATCATGCAAAGAATAAAGGATGATGGCTTCAAAATAGCATTGCAGAAAGAAATAATCCTATCTGAAGAACAAGTACGTGCATTTTACAAAGAGCACGACAATCAAGACTACTTCCCAGTCCTTCTAGAGCAAATGACCAGGTACATCGAATGAAAAATAAGAATGTGGATCTATAGATAAGACTAAAATTTTCACAATTAATAATCATAGAACCACAGAATGGCCTGGGTTGGAAGGGACCTTAAAGATCTTCTAGTTCCAAGCCCCCTGCCATAAGCAGGGAAACCTTCCACCAGACCAGGTTGCTCAGAGCCACATCCAACCTGGCCTTGAACACTTCCTGAATAATAAATACATGGCTAGAAGATACCCATGTATCTAAGAGTTTAGTAGAAGTCAAAACAGGACCAGATAACTGCAGATAACTGTAAAGTCACTGGCCAAGTCTGTTGATTTGAGTGAAACCAGTTGAACTTGCTCTGGAAGGCTGCATTGAGGTTGACTGCAGGAGAGCTCAGAAATCTTCAACCAGGCTGTTTGATTTCTCAGGGAAGAGAAATAAATCATGTTTGGATATTCCCTTCATACAAAGTTGGGTTATGACTGGTACAAAACCTTAGGAGCTGATCAGTATTTCCATGTCTTGCTGTTGTGCTAAAACTTGGTAGTTTTGCAATTTAAATTCATGTTTAAGTCCCATAAGGTTTTGTCAGACTGTACCTATTTAAACAGATTGGTTTAAAAATCCTTCAGTACTGGGGCTCATTTTCCCAGCCTGAACTGTATATAAGTCAATTACTTTTTAAAAATACAGAAAGCTTAATTATTTTTTTAATGCCAGTTTTCCCATTTTACAGTGGTCCAACTCTTGCATTGGCTCTAACACGAGAAAATGCTGTAGCACACTGGAGACATTTGCTAGACCCAAAGACACTTGAAGAGGCTAAGAAGGAAAATCCAGACAGGTAATACTCACAATAGGAAACCACCATTCACAGCTACCAATTTAGTTTCATATTCCTCATCTCAATGAATACCACATTCCAACTAGTGTAACTATAGTGCCATCATCTGGAAACGGATAGCATTTCTGCATTTGTTAAACTTTTCATGGAAGTAGTAGTGTATTACACATAGAAACTAAAGCATTTTTTTTGAGAAATAACGGCTTCTAAACACACTGAAAAGCTGAGTTTAAAAAAAGGTATTGAAGTGATAGGAGATCTCTTGAGTCAGAGAAAAAATGTTGGTAATATCTGTTCTTAATAGTTACTTTTTTTCTTGGAATACCACTATTACCTTTTAGAACAGATGATTTTTCTCTCAGTTTAATGCAAACTTTGCATAAGTGGAATATTTTATAGGTGACTAAGTTGCTCCTGCACATTTTATAAACGGACATCCTAGTTCTACCTGCTTATCATATTGTTCTGAGAAGCTGCTGTGGTATCATCTTACCTGTTGCTGACAGAAGTGCCATTTCATTGAGAAAGAAGTGATATTTATTAGAAATATAACAAGATGAGAGGTGGGAGGGAAGGTGTTCATATTTCAAATTGACAGACCAACACTAATTTATATTCACTGGGTTAAGGCTAGTCATACTTCATCCTCAAAATAGCTACTCCTTTAAGTAACTTCACTTTTTTAATGACTCTTAGTTTGCGTGCACGGTATGTGGTCGACAACGTATCTATTAATCAGCTGCATGGCAGTTCTACACCCAGTGAAGGTGTTACAGTTCTTCTTCCCTCAGGAGCAGACTTTGGCATTAATCAAACCTGATGCTGCTAAGAATCATAAAGGCAAGTCATTTAGAAAGCATGGCCTGTGTCTACCAATGTAGACATTTCTACAAATTATGTGCTCTGCAGTAAATCACGTCAAATGCATTCTTTCGATCCTGTGAAGAATTTTTTCTGTACAGAGGAATGCTTTTACAGGTCTTGGGTAATTCAGATTGAGATCTCAAACATGACAGTTCCTTTGCTCAAGCTGTCTACAGATCTTTCTTCACAAGAAAGGTGGTGAATTGAAGCAAGAGAGTTCCTAGTTAAGTTAAACTGTTTAAGGGCCAGGCACTTGTGCAGACTAGCTGCCCAGCATGGTTCTAAGTCAAAGAAGAGGGAAATTTTCCAAAATTGTGTTACTTATTTCAGACAGGTAGCTCTACTGACTTGCTTGATTCCCATCCGTGGTTTAAATTGCATTAGACAAAGGGAATAAGGATGAAACATCAAAGTAAAAAGAGACCTATGTAAAATTTGGAATCTTGCCTTAAAGAGTTTTGCTGCCACTTTGTAAAAAGTCCTATATCCAGAGCCTCTTCTCAGCATTACTCTTTTCTGTCCTAATAAATAATTGGGTTTTGTAAGTCTTTCTTCTCCTTCTGTAACAATCCAGATTGACTTTGGCATGCCAGCTGGTGTTTGATACAGCATTACAACTACAAGCCGTGTTCTGTCCAATGTTAGAATCAGCACTGAATGCTATTGGATTAGTTTATAACAGTCTGGGTTTGTCAGCTGCATTAAGATGGACAGCGCACAGACTATATATTTTAGAGGACTATTGAAGGGTTAGTTATGGTGTCCATGGGTGTTTGATATTTTAAGTAGAATTTTAATAGCTGTTGGTGATTTTTTAAATAAAAGGATCTAGTATTTTCTGACACTTTTAAAGTTTGGGTGTCTTGAGGTTCTTTAGCATCTAAACCATTTCAATATAAAATGATTTTGTTATTCTCCTACATGATTTAGCACCTCAAAGATAAAAGAAGAAGCTTTAACTCATGAAATGGCTGCACAATTTTACAGGGATCACAAAGGAAAACCTTTTATGAACAGTTAGTGACTTGTATGACTAAGTGTCTTGTTTTACAGTACTGAGGTATGTAAGTAGACATCACACTTTGACTTTATAGTGCTAACAAAACATGCGACACCATAAGTGGTATAAGGATTTTCCACAGTCACTATTTCTGGCAAGTTTAGTGACTTCTAGCACAGAGTGCTTTTCCTTTAAATGGAAGGTTTAAAATGCTTTCCAAACCTTTGCGTAGTGACTATTTTGAATTTTTTTTCTCAAAATAGGAACTGCTTTCTGATGGAATCCTTGTCCTTCCCACGTGGGACAAATATCTTCCTCATAATATTACTAATATAGCTGTTGATAAAATAGTGTATGTATTGGCTTGCTTCAGAAATTATTGGGTGAGAATATTTTTTGGACAAAAAGTCTAAATCCAAATACCTGATCATCATAATCTTTCTGGTTTTCTGTCGTGGTTTAACCCCAGGCAGCAGCCAAGAACCACGCAGCCACTCACACACTCCCCCACCAATGGGATGGGGGAGAGAATCCCAAGGGTAAAAGCTACAAAAACTCATGGGTTGAGATAAAGACAGTTTAATAGAGAAAGCAAAAGCTGCACACACAAGCAAAGCAAAACAAGGAATTAATTCACTGCTTCCCATGAGAAGGAGGTGTTCAGCCATCCCCAGGAGAGCAGGGAGCATCACGCGTAACGGTTCCTTGGGAAGGCAAACATCATCACTGCAAATGTCTCCCCTTCCTCCTTCTTCCTCCCACTTTATATCCTGAGCATGATGTCATACGCTATGGAATATCCCTTTGGTCAGTTTGGGTCACCTGTCCCAGCTGTGTCTCCTCCCAATCTCCCACACATCCCCAACTTCCTTGCCAGTGTGGCAGTACGGAAAGCAGCAAAGGCCTTGACTCTGTGTAAGCTCTGCTCAGCAAAGACAAAAACATCTCTGCATTATCAACCCTGTGTTCTGCACAAATCCCAAACATAGCTCCATACTAGCCTCTGTGAAGAAAGTGAACTCCACTTCAGACCAAACCAGCACACTTTCACATATGGGATATTGTCTTAAACAAAACACTCAGAAACAAATTTTAATATTTAAACAGTTTAACTAAATTCAGATAGTCTAAGGCTTATCATAACCCTTCATGAAGTCAAAGCAAAGTCTGTATCTCAGGACAGTGTCAGAGCTTCCTTATTTTGATTTTACAGGGGTCCATCAGTGATAATGGTCTTATCAAAGAAAAATGTTGTGGAAGAGTGGAGGCAGCTAATGGGTTCAGCTGATCCAGACGTGGCAAAGAAGACCTGTCCTAAATCGATTTGAGCTCAGTTTGCACATGATATTTTGTCTAATGCTGTTAATGGATCATCTAATAGAGAACATGCACTGAGAAGCATTGAGTTCATATTTGGAGAGATTGATACAGATTAAACAATTAAGATGCAATCTCTGAAAATTGATGTCCATGTCATTAGATGCACTTCCCTACCCAGTCTCCTATATTTAAGACTATATAAACCAGATATTTTCCCTCATACTCCATCCAATTTTTATCAGGCAGGTTTCTGTTATCAGGTTTTCCATACTGCAAAGCATATCAATGTTACAAGTAATGCCTACTAGAAGCCTGACATTAGTAATGATTTCTTTATGTGTGCTTAGTAGACAGATTTTATTTTATCAGTTTAACAGGTTCATTCCTTTCCAATCCTTCAAAGATTCTACGATGTTTTGTATCTACCTATCTTAAAAAGAACAGGGTCAAGGAAGGTCATCAAAACACTATTAATGCCACATTCACTGTGATGTGGATCAAATCCTGCAGTTCCAGTTGTGAGCCAAATGGGGCTTCTGGGTCTGTGAGACTGATCTGGGCTAGTAAGGCCTATTGGTTCCCTCAGGACACTGAGAAACATTGGCATTGTTTATTTATCCTTTCCCTAAATATCTCCTAACAATTCCTTTTACAGGTAGGATAACAGAAGGTCTTTTCCAGTCCATTTACTCAATTAAAATATATCAGAGGAACTAAAATATAAAGCCAGCTCTTACATAACAGCTCAGCTTGACATATACCTCCTTGCCAAGCTAGTGAATTCTTATCCTGTCTCAGCCTAACTTGGCTGGCCTTCATGAAGAACACAAATAGTCTTCTGTAGCTGATATATTCTCACTTTTGCTGTCTGAGTCTGTTAAAGGTTGAGATACTAAAGAATGGCATTCAATTAAAGCAATTTACTTACTGTGTTAATTCTAAATGGAAAGTCCAGAAAGAATTAAGTCTTTCTCACACTTTCTTTATTATTCCTATTGTATTTAATACAAGTAGATGTTTTAAAGAGCTTCCTGACAAATATTTCTGTTGCAAGGGGACATTTATTATTATAGACATTCCTGCAGCAGAAGTTGGACTGAGTATTCTCCTGGTGGCCCATTTTCACCTACAGCTGCTTTACTGCCATAAACTGGGCTTGAGGCTAGCTAGCCTGTAGGAAGTTGTGATTAGTGCAGAATTTATATGTCACCTCAGTGAGATGAATTGTGTGAAGCATACTTCAGGATTGCTGTATGTTCTTTGGCTTTGTTTTTACTTCAAAAACACATTAAAACTGTTCTTCCTGGCATTATTTCAGCACTCCAGGTCTTTTGGGTGCTGGCACATTGTGCTTTAAACTAAGAAGCAGTCCTGGAAAAGGCCTGAGTAGGGCAATTTCAATTCAGCTCATTTCCCAAGACCTTGGCTGGAGTTAATGGCTTCTCAACCAATGAAGCAAATATAGTGTTGGAAGTTTAGATGGGTTTATTTTTTGACAGGCCTAGAAATGCTGATAACATGAAAATGTACTTATGTCTTATTAAGAGTTCATGACACATCTGGTGGAAGTTCACAATCAAATAGCTTGATAGGAATCATGCAGAGGTTATCAATAGTTTGAATCATTTATTGCCCCAGTCTGAGAAATTTCAGTTAGCTGTGGGAGTACTGTAGCTCCACCTCTGTCTATTTAAGTGTGGTATCATTTTATATACTGAGTTATTGCTTGTTTAACCATCATCCTTCATCCTGTGTTACATCATTCTTAATCAATATAGCATTTTTGTCAGTTTGGTTTTACTATTGGATGTTGAAGGATTCTGTTTATTTGAGTTCATATATTCATGTGTGTCAATTATGATCTTGCTTTGTACTTGGTTAAAGCAATCCAGTAGATTACATTGAAATATTGTGCATAATGTTGCCTTGGTATCCAAACCCAAATTGAAATGTGGAGCATTTGATTTATTAATGCTTATTTTCTTCTCCTAAATATGTTCTTGATCATAATCTCTTTTAGTAGCTTTGAAAAGGAGAAATGTAACAGATACATCTCAAAACATCAAAAATAACTGTTTCGGTCAGATGATGAAGACATTCAGAATCATGAAGATTTTATATCCTTGAAAATGCATTAAAAATGTGGTAATTGAAATACTGTCAATATTTTAAGATACTAGTTTGCCTCTTTGAAAGTTTAACTCATCACTTAGGCATTAAACATATAATTTATACAGCCATCCATTCTTTGAAAATTATATTACTGCAAGATAGATAGGAAATAACTTTTAAGAATTTGAACATTTGTGATGGGATCAGCGAGCATTTGATTTATAGTCAGAAGGAATTTGGTCCAACATAAACTCCATTGAGTCTCACAGATCTTCTTGCAATTAAATTTACACAATTCCACTGCCTACAAATCTTACAGAAATTCTGACTCTGCCCATTTATCTCATATCTAAATGCCAGTCAGTTCAAAAGAGAATGTGGCCTTCATGGCTGTTTATTTAGAAAACATCTTGTGGTTCATCATAGAATTAGATGGTGCAAAGACGTGATTAAAATTCTTCCAACACTAACAAAAGATAACATAATTATTCTTCTGATTTTTGTCCCAGCAGGAGAGAAATGGAACCACAGGGCATGTTTATTTGTACCACAGACCACGTATTTCCTTGCTTAGGAACTTTAATGAAATCATAATCTGACACTGAGACTATATTAAAGGTCCATTTCAATTTAGAATGATAAACAAGATGGTTATAAATCTCAAAATACTATTTAAGAGTAATTAGTATGTCTGATTGTAGTGAGTTTTTGTACTGAATTACTGCTTAAGAAAATAATACAAGTGGGGAAAAAGCTCTTTTCCCCTGCCAAGAAGATGGAGTCAATCAGCTTGTGGCTGTGCACCACTGCACTGTTTTTCCTTTGCTCTGACTGCTGAATGAGCTCTACTGGCAAGTCAGACCTTTCAAGTAGCTGTTCACTTTATCCACAGTTCTTCGTGAGCTTTCTGATCACCTTGCTCAGAGGATAAATACTGATGTGCTCTGAGGATCTACAAACCAAAGTTTTCATCACAGTGTAACCAGAGGGAATCAAAATACTTATGGTGTGGGTGTGTTTGAGGCATCTCTTGGTCGGTCAGATGTATCCATTAACTCTCTGCCTCCAAGTGGGTGTGTTTGAGGCATCTCTTGGTCAGTCAGATGTATCCATTAACTTTCTGCCTCCAGTATACACCACCTAGCATATATTTTGGGGTTTGCTCTTAGTATCCTCACCTAGAGAAAAGGAGTGTGCCCTCCCATCCACATGCTTTCCTTTCTGCTCATTACTATACTGGTAATCCACAAACCTTTTGGCAGTGATAGGAACCAGCCTGATATTAACAGATTACCTGGAAGCCCTGAGATTTACTGCATATCTAATGACCAAGTTTGAAGCCCTGTTTCATATTCCAGTAAGGCTGTTGTTTAATTTCAGAGATGTTACAGGAAATACAGTGACAGCAATTGAAATTCAGTTTTTCCAGAAAGCCTTGACTAATTAGAAATAACGTATCTCTATAGAAATTAATGACTTGCAAGTTATTGGGATGGTTTTAAATATAAATGGAAAGATAATTTTGAATGTTTGTTGACCAATATTGATGGATTTATTTTTATTTACAAAATTAACTGGAGCTGATGTGGTTTACCAGAAAAATCTGGTTGAGAAAACATTTTCAAATGTGCATTTACATTCAACTACTAAGCACGACCGAAAATCATGTGTCGGTTGTGCATAATTGGAGTAAATATTTTTTCAGGCTTCATTCATTTGGAATCTAGGTTAAAATTCTGGACCAAATAATTTAAGAGCTGCTTGAGTATTTTGGACTGGAAAAATCTTCTTTTTATTTGTTTAGGAAGTATTTCTTAGTTATATGCACTGACTGGACAAATGTTGCAACACTGAATTGAATTGAAGCGACCGGGTCATTCAGGTCTTGTTGGAGGGGGGCTTTTATAAACATGTTTCATAAAAAACTTCTGATTTGCATTTACAGTGAGCTTCTAAAATGATGCCAATCATTCACAATTAGAGTAAATATTTTTTCAGGTTTCATTCTTTTGAACTGAGGTTAGAACATTCAGCGAAAATACTGAATGGCACTTCTTACTGAACCAGGCACATATGTGTGGGAGGTAGTAAGAAATGCACTAGAGGCATAAGTTTGGTGTTCCAGGCAATTTGTATTTTATATGAAAAAACTGCCAAGCAGTTGTAGGCAGCTGTAACACTGAGAAAAAACATTTGACACTTCAAATTTTGGCCTGTTAATTTTTCAGCTGTAAATAGGTACAGTAATTACTTTCATCCACCAGTAAACTATTTGCCCACTCTGCTAAATTGAGGTTTCATGACTCCAGTGCTGGTGTGCACTAACACAGCAGTGGTGACATCTGGCCATGGATGTGCACAAGGAGAGGTAATTCTCACCTTTTGCCACATGCTGGGGAGCAGAAGTAGTGAGTGGGCCCCGTGGGGACATATTTGCCTGTTCAAACAGGCAACTACTCCAACATCTATTTCATGCCTTTGGAAGGGAAGGAAAGCTGGATGGAGGGTGCAGATATTCTGGGTCTGGATTCAGCTGGCATTTGATGTCACAGGGATTTAATAATTCTAAGGGACGTGCAAAGAGGAATGGCTTGCATTAGTGCTGAATTGGGTTGACCCATGGCTTCTTAAAATGTAGGAAAAATTGATAGGGAAAAACACACTACCTTACTAATTAATCCTTTGCACATCTGTTCTTTATATTATGCTATCTCCTGCTTTCTGTTGCATTTCCTTCTTTCATATTTTTACCATATCAGAATGAAAGTTAGTCAGCATAAAGCATACATAAAAATGTCAAGGAGTTTGGCAACACCTGGCTCAGTGCATTGAAGTTTGTTCCAGCATACTGGAATGGTCACTAACAGCAACTTGCAGAAGGAATGGTGAGAATTCTCTGGAGAAAATAATATGTACATTTTCTCCTATGACCAAGAAAAAAGAAAAAAGTTTGATTTCAACTGTCGTAAACTAATATGTAATGGTGCTATGTAGTCTATCTATGACCAAGAAAAAAGAAAAAAGTTTTATTTCAACTGTTGTAAACTAATATGTAGTGGTGCTATGTAGTCTAGGTAGCTGTTCCAAAAGCTTCATTCAACAAACACTACACTCATTAAAGTGAAATATCATGATTTTGCTATTTGCTATCTCAACATCACATTGATAGGAGTGTCACTCATTTTTTAATAGCTAACCATATACATATTTATTGGGGTATTTTAAATCGGGATCAATAATCAATCGGGATCAGTAATCAAAGCTGAAGAACTCCTGCTACACTGTGGATAAAACTCTGTTAGAAGCTTTCCAATCATACTGATCTTTTAGATCATGCTTACTTAAGTCAGCATTTTCAAACACCTAATTTATTCACCTGCACTGAAGTTCTGCCAAAGCTGAAGAACTCCTGCTACACTGTCGATAAAACTCTCTTGGAATCTTTCCAATCATACTGGTCTTTTAGATCATGCTTACTTAAGTCACCATTTTCAAACACCTAATTCATTCACCTGCACTGAAGTTCTGTCTCCTTTGATTTCCACTTCTGGTTTTCCATTTCATTGTACAGGATTAAGATTTCATCTATAATCTGTATTTAAGCACCTAAGTATATGGTCATTTTTTAGACATGTCAAACACACATAAACAAAAAATTATGCAGATATTCCGTGGAGATAAAGTACTGTACCTGCCCAGAAATAGCAGTAGGGCTACATTCAAAGCTGGCCTTTGCATATTTTAACCAACTGCTCATAGCTCAACCAGTGACCATGTAGGTTGTGTTTTCCCCCCTGAACTATCCTATATGCTATTAACACCTCTGTCTCTTTGATTTAATCATTCTAACTTGGCATCTGCGTCTCTAGCTTGTGTTAGCATCTTCCAAAGTATATAACTGCTGCTACAAAAATCACTCCAGCATATTCAGCCTTGAATTTCTTGCATGCAAATTTCATTGGAATTCTTGTAATGACAGAGATCAACATACTGACACGATCAGTTGTAACTCCTTACGTTAATCTACAGAGAACTCTTTTTTTTTTCCCTGACATAGACAGTGTCTATGTTAAAAATGCTAATTTAGCTTTATCAACACCAGAGTTGGCAAGGCTAGTCCTTAGTTTATCTGCAGAATTCTTGACGGTCTTTCAGATATCTATCATGAGAAATGCTGATCTTAATGTAGGTGACCTTCTTATGTGTTAAGTGAAATTGAAATCAGAATGTGTTATTTATGCTGCCTCATGCAAGTATACCCTGGAGGGAATAGCATAAATGCCATCTTGGAGTTATGTCGATTAGATTTGTATCACCTTTGCTATTTTAATACCTCACACAGAAAATATTAAGTCAGTAACTTTACTGCATAAATTAAAGCATCTGCTTTTCCTGTCACCCTTTTCAGGGTTAAACGCTACTTTCTGATCAGCAAAACTGCAGAAAGCAGTTGCTTTAAGAGGTTCATTAACAGGGACAAGGCTTATTTATTTGTTTGTTTGTTTATTTATTTGGTATCATAGAAAGATTAAAAAATATGGTGTCAAATGATAAAAAATGATCCAAATGATTACTGAGCCACATGAAGCCCTATCTTCTCCTTAATACTGTACAGTAGCTGTGAGTTATGTTTAGAATAAAGCTTCTGTTCCAGTTCTCATAACAAAGCTATATTACAGCAAAAAAAGTGTTACTTTTAAGAAACATAACAAAGCTATATTACAGCAAAAAAAAAGTGTTACTTTTAAGAAATCTAGAGATCTGCTTCACTTTAATCTGTCCATTCAAAAAATAATGATTTTTCAGTTAGATGCTTAAATACATTTGAAATTATAACAACAGAAGCCAGCCTGAAGTACAATAAAAAAAATTAAATGTCTGCATTTTTGCTACAAAAACTCACAAGATCAAATACTAACACTGTAAGCATATTTTCGGCACACACATAAAAATAATCACATAAGGCATACCCAGATGTTTAATGGTAAACTATGCTTTTGATTGCTCTGAACAAGGGCTGCAATTCCAAATAGCAGATAGGTTCAACTCTAGCAGCTACAGTAGTTGCTGCCCAAGATGCCTGACAGAGATTCCCATCCCTCTGCTGCTTCTCAGCTGCCGTGTCTGGTGAGCTCTCAGCTAATTCACAGAGTAACTCAGAGACTAACTCACCAACTACTACATCTGCTGAGGAGAGAAGAGATGCTCCATGCAGCCCTCCAGCCTCTGGCAGGGAAGCAGAGCAGGCAACTGGCACAAGGAGTCAAAAACTCTGGCAGCCAAGGCTAGTTCTATTTAGAATTGCACATCAGAGCCCAAAGATAAAGCTCAGTCAGTTGGAATATGCCTACCATATAACAGTGCAAACCTATGCTCTATGGCTTGCAGTGACTTGAAAGGAGAAGCAAACCTTTTAACAGTAAAGTGCAGCAAAAAGGTCTATGTAGAAACTGACAGGATTTTTTAAAGTCAGTGAGTTCTGGATTAATAAAACATGCCAACCAAGCCAGATCGTGACCCTTGCTGTGCAGGGAAAGTCTTTCCTTTTGGAAATGCCACTCTCATACTTTTTTAGGGTTGATTTCTTTCTGGCCATTCCTTATTTTAATGGCCTTTTTGGGGCCACTGATCAGTGGGTTGGTGTTCTTGGTTGATGATTTCAGGACTCCACTCTGGCCACTGCGTCCTGAATTCTGGTTCTTACTGCGGGCAGTTCGACGCTTCTGTTCTTGCAGTCTCTGCTCCCACCTCTGTAAAAATGCAGAAGGCAAAGAGGAAGAGTTAGGGAAGAACATTATCATAAATAATTATATCTTAATCAAAGCTATCCTGAACCATTGATACTAGTGCTGATTTTCACAGTTTTGTGCTCTGTACTGCAAGGTCATGGATGTTATGACTGTTATGGCTATTTGCAGGGGGAACCTGCCATGTGTTCTCGAGTAGAGGGAATTTCCATGATACCAGTGGATGAAAATGACAACTGCCCATATTGCATTCATGCTGCATGTGAGTGCCTTTCAGAAATCCAGGGGAGCTGGCACCGTGTCATCAAAAAGCCAGGATCAGCACACTGGAACTCCTTTACAAGCCTCTTCTTTGCTGTCTTACTGAACATTCCTAAGAATAGTCTGCAGAAATCAAACTACCCTTTCACAATATATATTCAAGCACACAGCTACAAGGGAAGGTGGTATTTACTTTCTGGTTCTGCTTTTCCCTGGAGTGGAGAGGACTGGGCATGAACAAGCTTGTAATGGACAGACAACAGAGCTAGCCACTGAAGTCACAGTGTTCAGTTGCAATGGGATGGTAGTGAATAATGCACCTGCAGTTTTATTCAGCAGCATCCCTGAGAAACTTTGAAAAGCAATCTGATCAATGAGCCCACCAAAGAGAATATCTGTCAGATTTCCAAACCAAACAGTGCAGTGCTTAGAAAACAGATTTTTACAGTAAGTTGGAGTGGTTAGGTCTCCAAAATATGAAGGGATTTACAACACTGCAGCAGAGACTGCAGTCTTTCACTTATGGGAACAGAATATCTATTTTAAGGAAAGCAAGGTAGATAGTAGAACCTGGAAAGGGTCTCATTTCTCTCCTCTATTAATGGTCTTTCTCTTTGGAAACTCCTAAAGGCAGGGGGTTTACCCAGTGATCAGAGCAAGCAAAGTGCTCTCCAGCTTTTCCTATTTAGTGTCTCTGCACTGACCCTGTTGCACCCCAGACTCTTGCCCTGGCTAGAGAAGGGAGACTAGCCATGCTGTAGCTATGCTAACAGCTCTCTTCTGTGGTTCACAGACAGCTCAAAAAATTCATTTTAAGTGGTAAATCAAGATAAAGGTTGGATGCAAGTCTTCAGAGATGAATTATGGGCATTAAAATGAAGCCACTGTGATACCTAGCTCCATACTGGCTATGTGTAGTCAGGGCCATTTTAGGCATCTTTATAAAACAAAAACTATCAGCAGCCATTTAGTTATGTCCCACTCAATTATGTTTAAATGAGGATTTAGTTTATGAAACTATTAATATCAGAGGAAAATGACACACGCTTTGAGAAGTATTTTGTTTGGCAGTCATGAATCCATTTGACAGTCTGGAAATGAAGTCCCAAACATATTTCATAAGACAATTAGAAATGACAAAATAGTGTGTTGAGTGCACTGCAACACACTGTGTGCCAGTAACAGGTCATTATGTTGACACCTAAGGGATTTCAAGAGTCCATGTCATATGTCAATATTCTTTTAAATCTCACATTATATCCTCTGCAATTGCCATGCATTTATTTTTTAAAGATTTAAAGCATGTTTTCTCTTCCACATGTAGGTTTCACATGAGTGAAAAGGGAATTATAAAAGCATCAAATACAATTTCTTGCAACAAGTTGGTCTGCAGTCTGAAAGCTTCTATTTATGGATTCTTCTTTCTCTTTTACTCCTCTCTATCATTGCCAATCAATTCATAATTAAAAGAAACATACATGTACATCCTTAATGCTCTGAAACTTTTTCTGAATTCCAGAGATTACTTTCTTCCATCTCTAACGTGTCAGACATTCTCTTGATCCACTTTCTTTTTCCATTATAAAGAGTTTGCAAGCAGGGAGTGATATCAAGTGCTATCCTGAGGCTCCAAAAAACATCTACTCTGCCTGTCACCTAGGTCTCTATAATACAGATTTTTCCTTCCAGCATTCCCTGAAACCAATGAGGGGATGCCCAATACTTTCAGTGGGTCTTTCGTAAGAAGTATCTGGTGAAAAGTCTGTCTCTGTCCTGCAATCTTTAATGCAGCAAAGCCCATTTATCCAGTGCAGTGGATTTTAACTTCCTTTCCTACCTAATATGGACTATATGCTCATCTACATATCACCTACCTGACAGTTACTTGCCTTAGCAGAGATATGAAAGAAATTCCTAGAGTTATTATCATAAGAAATCAGAGTTCACATGAAAATCACCCAACCAGATAAAAATAAAATAGAAATACAATTTAAGAGACCCTAAAGTGCAAGACTAAAATATATGCAATTATGAGGTCTGATAATGCTGAAGTGAAAATAATAATACGCAGATGTGTTACAGATATCTGAAAGTCATGAATGTTAATCAATGCTGAAGTAAAACAAAGGTGTTTGGCTTCTTATCACGAACATCAACATTCTTTTCCTTGGTTGTATTTACCTTAAATCTTCTGTTTAGCTGATCCTTCCATTTTTCAACTAGACATCCATCAAGAAGCATCAACCTGAAAATTACGAAATAAACACAAGTTATAAATATTTCTGATTTTGTTTCCCAAGATGCCATTCTGGATGACTTAACACAGACTAAGATTGAAAGGAACCTACATGTACTGGTACTGACAATTTCCATGTATGGATGATAGGTAGAAAAAGAGTTTTCTCCATCCCTAAATGCTTTCTAATGGATTCCTACATGCTTATACTAATACTTCCAAAATTCTATCCTAAAATCTGCAAAAGCAGAAAATAAATCAGATTTCACAGCCAAAACTGCAGTGCATGGCCAGTATTCAGAAAATATTTAGAGCCCTTTGTGCTCACCTGCAGCTATTCTGCAGGGGAATATTGTCCTATGTTGATCACTGTTAACAAAAAGTTATGAAACTGCTGAAATGTGTATGTACATGTATTTTCACTTATGCCTTCTATATGTTTGTGTGTGTGTATTTCCTACATGTAACTACTTAATAAGTGCTTTAAAGAGAATTTGAACCACGTATGGTAATGATGTTTGCCTACCAATGAAATCTGGCTAACTCCTGTGTGAAAGTATTGAGTCGAGGTGTTATGAAATAAACAAAACATAACTATGAGTATTAAATGCATATGCCTTAAACAGGTCCTAAAATAGTTTGTTCTGAAGCAGCCTGATGTCACAACTTCTAAGTCCCAAACTAGAAACAACTACTTTATTGCACAGGGATGCTGGAATTCCTGTATCTTCTCTACTGCTAACTATGTGACTTTTGTAACCTTTTTCCTTCTTTTCTTTCAATTTCTTTTGTTTGTTTGTTTGAGACATCAGACCTTAATATGCCCTAATATAATTTCATCAGTTCTGGAAGGTTTTACTTAGATATCAGTGATGGCCGGAGACATCAAAACATTGCTATAAATGCACACAATTTCATCCAGCACTTTGCTGGTAGGTGAAGTTTACACAATGTAGCAGGGACGAATCTCCAGTTTTCATTAATAGTGTTGTGCTATTACCAGTTCAAACAGACTACAAAATGCTGCCTCTCATAGCCATAAGCCACTGTGCATCCACTTTGACAAAACATAAAAGGCCTAATGTGAGTGGAAAATCAAGACCAACATGATATACATTTCCTTTTCTATCTGAGAAGAAATTAGAGAACTAACAGGATTGAAGCAAAGACCACACCGTGACGAATGAAACCACAGCATGTTGTACATCTGATGCAGCTTCTGTTCAGGTCAAATTATCAAGTGAGACTCTAATCCTATTGAGAGGCAGTGGGTGTTTTGCTGTTGACTTCACTGGAGATACAGCTCCCACCCATTTTGCTTCGGTCATTTTAAAACACTGCTGTAACTCAAAACCTTCTGTTTGCATGCCACTGAGTTCAACAGGAAGTACATATAATAGTTTATGTTTCTTTTTCAAATCCATTTCAGTACACTATATGAAATTAAAAACCTCAGTGACCTTTAAAAACCATCATGAGATATTTAGTGAATGGTGTTTTTCTCCATAGTAATGGAGATGTAAATTGTGATCTTTGACTTTTGAAATCTCCCTTTCCTGACTGCCTCTGGAGGATCCTGTCCCACAGAGCTCTGCAGCTCACAGTCTTGGTCGTGGTCCTTCTACATGACTCAGAGCTTGTATTCCTAAAATGGCTAACACAAGTAGAGGGTTCTAAATTAATCTTTGTGAAATACTTCCAGGCTTGGAGGAGCAAAGTGCTGTGCAGTAATAAAATACCATGCTTGTTAGGGCATAAAAATGAAAAGTTAAAGAAATAAGGTATCAGATGGTACCTTTTAGAAACACCTATAAAATGCTTTTAAAATATCTACATAAACTCATTAAAAATATGGATATGGCCCACCAAGTCCCACATGTAGATGGTCTGTGTGCATCCTTAATTAACAGTAACACCCTTGTATGCAAAACCAGCCTGCAGATTTTACAAACAGCCTTGCCTCCAACCCACAGCACACAGGCATGTGTACCTACCATGCCACAACCTGTCCTGTTGGCATCTCCTTCACTGGTACACTTGGGGTGCTAATGGGGATGTGATGTCCCCTTCTGCCTCAAGGAACCAGAGAGAAAGGGAGTTGTGATTCATCACTCCTTCCCCTCCAGACCAGCATGTTGGATTTCCTTCCATGCCTGGGGCTAGGCTGACTGCCAGATGAAAGGTCTGGTAAAGTTAGTTTTGTTTTGTTTTTTTTCTTTTAATCATACAGCAGGACTGGCAAGCTGCTTTGAGATTATTTGTTTTTCGTCTGCCATCCAGGAGCTGAAGCTTCAATGGCTGCAGCTTTGGCTGGTCCCAGTACAGCTGTGGGATCAGAAACATCTTGCTGATGGCACGGGCCCAAAGTATGGATAGGCCAGTGGAGAAGGCCTGGCTCTGACTCCAGCAGCTCTCTGGACAGATGTATATCATCTCCTGCCCATTCCCTTTGGGTCAGTGAGGCAGAACTATGCCTTTCATGTGGTCCTGCTGACACGGACCAACATCTACAGCCACCATTGGGCTTGTAGCACATGAAACAGCTATGCAAAGTGGTCCTGAAAAAACATTCCCAAACAGCTGGCGATGCATGAACTGCTGCATGATGCATTAAGCAATATACTGTCAGTACCTAATGCCACCAGATTTTATGCTCCATGTGTGAGCCAAGTTTTGTAAACACCACATTATGGTGCAGAGCTGAGGCTGATGAAGTGGAAAAAGTCGATTGTGAAGGTAATTGAAACATATGTGTATGCATGACTAAGAAAAACTATCAGCAAAACATGCTTATTATGAGGAAGAGAGCTTTGCTGATCCTTCTTCCTGCCTATCACAGCCATCTATAACCCTTTTATATACCACATCACCAGGGCTCACCTTGAACGCCATTCATAGCACATGATGAGAACGTCCTGCTTTGGTTGAAGAGGTGGACACTGGCAGGAGGAATTTGTAAGAAGAGGCACTTGGGACAAAAGAATTGGTGTTGAAGACTTAAGTATGTCTTTCACTTCAACCACAGTTGTTATCTCATTGCAGTTCCCTCTTTCTACGCTTTTTACTTTAGCATGAATGACTGCAAACTTATCTCATTGCAGTTCCCTCTTTCTACACTTTTTACTTTAGCGTGAATGACTGCAAATAGAAAAATAGAGGTGTGAGAACAATAAACAGTCTTAGAAATTTAAACACATCTCAAAATTAAATAAAACATTAAATTGAAAGCTGTTGTTTTGGTAGTGAAACTAGAACTACTTCTTCATGTGTGGGCATGAACAGCAGCTTAGAATAACAGAGGCCTGATCCCAATTTGGTTTTCAGTAAGATTGTTGACAACTGTGAAATTAAACATGTGCTTAAATCTTTGCCAGATCAGGCCAAGCAATCTTGCCTGGAATCACACACATGAACAACTCCTTCAACTCAAACTTGAAAAACCCTTTGCATAAATCAGACTCATTCTATAGCCACATCTGGCTATTTCCAATGAAGTAATGAATAATTTACCTCACAATTAACATGAATTCAGTCTTCTCAATAATAAAATCATTTCCCTGTACATTGCAGACAGGAACTATAGTCTTTCTTAAATATAAGAAAGAAGGAAAGGTTTGAAACAAGTAGTCAAAACACTTATTTTGATTTAGGATTGATTTACTCAGTCTATATCTGTAGTCTAGTCTTTCTTAAATATAAGAAAGAAGGGAAAGTTTGAAACAAGTAGTCAAAACACTTGTTTTGACTTAGGATTGATTTACTCAATCTATACCTTTTTTCACCTTTTGCCTTTGGATTATCCATCAGTAGTAAGATCCTCATACAAAGCAGGCTCTGAAATGGGTTCTTCTGACTCTGAATACACAATTGTTTATACTTTTAGTCTTTCTTAAATATAAGAAAGAAGGGAAAGTTTGAAACAAGTAGTCAAAACACTTGTTTTGACTTAGGATTGATTTACTCAATCTATACCTTTTTTCACCTTTTGCCTTTGGATTATCCATCAGTAGTAAGATCCTCATACAAAGCAGGCTCTGAAATGGGTTCTTCTGACTCTGAATACACAATTGTTTATACTTTTACCTTTCATTGAGGAAAATTGCATGTCTGCATGGATGCAAGAAGGTGAAACTGTAGATAGCTCTAAGATGATCCCTGACAACTTTGTACCTGCGAACCCCAGCAATACCTACCACTGCTATATTTCACCCCTTCTCTCTTGTGAGAAGTACCAGAACAGAGAAATTAAGTATAAATTTTACACGAAGGACTTTATCTCTAGGAAATGTCAAAATAGAAACAGTCCTATTATCCCAAAATTCTTCAGTGAAAGAAGCATGAGAAGTATATAGACCACAGGTGATCAGCCTGTATCAATGCTACCCCCGTCAGCCACCAGGTCAAGAGCCTTCAAATGAACCTTATAACATTTGGAACAAACTTTCAATGTAGAAAACAGGAGACCAGCATTATTAATGCAGCCTGGTGTTTATGTGCCACCTTTATCAGGACATGAATAACAGACATAAAATGCATGAGGAATTTCAGTTTTGGAGACCCACAATCCATTTTCAAGTCTGACTGAAACCAAGTTCTGACCAGCTAGAAATACAGATTGACTGTATGTATTATTTTTAAGGATTTCAGAAAAAAAATTTATTATATTTTCAACTTGTTCAACCTTGTCTTGTCTCTCAATTCATATTCCATATAAGCATGTCTGTTCATTTCAGAGGTAAATGCAGATTTACCTCTCAAAACCAAAACAATTTCACAAATTCAATGCAATTAAATTTTAGACTCCAACCTACAGGCTTTACTCGAGCAACAGTCCCACTGAAGTCACTAGAATCAGAATTTATATGACTAACACCTCTATTTGATTTTGGAACAATCATTTTATATCACTGCTTCTTCATATATTTCAGACAACTGTGGAAATTCATTGTCCCACCTAAACATAACACTATGTGGTACTGAGACAGATTAAGGAATTATATAAAAAAATATGTCATATAAATGCAGCAAAATTCCATAACAAACAAAAGAATTATATCATTACGTAAGTTAGATGTTTGGCTTGACTATTCCCACCATGGAATGGATTTTTTTTTCCATGCTAACGAAGAAACAACTACAAACTTCCTTTAATTTGTTATCAGACAAATAGAAATCAAATGGATATAATAACCCTATTGCATAAGAACTGAGTAAATGCCTTGAAGAAAAAACTGCCACCTGAGAAAATACCCATAAAGTGCAAATTATGACAATACTGACAATAAATTCATAGTTAATTTGGTTTTCTGTTGACATTACAGACTTTAGCCTGGCATTTAGCTAATCTCAATTAGAGTTCTTCCTGACTCACACCATCAGAAAACCGAGGGGGGGGGGAAGCTAAGGGGGAAGAGGGGTGAAGGTGTATTTGTATTGCTAATATGCCATGCTACATATGATACACCTGTCAGCCAAGGAGTTGACTGGATGGTGGAAATTGTCACTGAATTCAATTAATCTCTGACAATTCTGCACCAGATGGAACTCTGGCTAGTAAGTAAAAGCATGTATGAATTTCTAATAACTTTTTACTTTGCTGCAGCTTTGCTCACATCTACAAGTTTTATTTACGTGGCAAACCTCTGTTTATTCTACCTGCTGGATGAAAACAGGAGCTGGCCAAGCAGCACGTGGTCATGCTCACATCAAACATAACTTCGCTTACTCGAGTCACCTTTGCAGGAGCAAGAACCCTTTCTGCAGAGTGACCTGTTGATGCCAGTGCACGTTACAGATATTTCACTGATTTTATCAGAAACACACCATCATCTGCACAATCACTGCTACTGCCTGCATGTGGTGTGTGCAAGTGATGGGTTTTGGAAGAGAAGGGTTAGGCATCCCCAGGCAAAACCCCACTTGGAAAGCCTGTGGTGGAGTGGTCTTCTCACATCACACTTGTTAGACGGGGCCTGGTGTGGGTGCAGCACCCACACGGAGCTGTCTAACTTGCAGGGGACACAAAGAGGGAGCAGAACAGGCAGAACGAAGCATTTCCCCCCATGCACTTACTGTAGCTGTAGTTCTTGGCCAAGTAGTTGGGCTTTGTCTTTTTGCACCTGCGCCGCTCTTCAAAGGAAGAGAAGGGAACACGGTTGAGGGGATGTGAGAGGGAGCCTGGATCCAGGGTGGGGAAGGTGGGGGGTTGCACAAGGCTCACCCTGGCCACGGCTCCTGCAGTCGGGCTCCAGGGGTCTGTCCGGCATCATCACGCCCTGCGTGAAGTCCATCCACTTCGCATCTGCAAACAGAGGTGCGTCAGGGAAGGAAAGCTGTCGGGA